GTCTTGCAGAAATCCAAACAAATCTATTTTCCATGGGAAGGATTCTTTATAATTAATTTCAAAATCTTATTCCAAATTTATCTGGACCCTTAAACTGTTTATAACTTTCTCAGATCAAAGTTTTATTTAGCTTTTTGCTGTTTGCGTTCCCTCATGTAGAGATCATACTTTGTATGTAACCCTGTTCCCTGAACTGCCCAACTCCCATAGGAAAATAACCAAAAATTAATACCTAAAAAATCCTTTCTTAGATGGAAAATATCTCATTCACAGATCGTAACATAGACAAAAGGGGGCGGGGGGGGGATGAAGCTTGGGAAGACCTGGTTGGTAGTTCAGAAAGCCCACCAAGGTCAGCTAAATGCTGCCCCCTAGCAGGGCAAAGGGAAGGACATGCCAGCATTATTTCTCTTCCCTGGGAACAAAGCTCCCTTCTATTTTGGTTCCAAGCTTGAATGTAGCTCCTTAAGAACCTACCTTTCCCAAAGACAGTCCCATTTGTGCCACAGATTCTCCAATCAAAGTTGTCCATGCAGATGGCTTTCATGCTCGAAGTACTTGTCCCATGGAAAAGGAGCCTCTCGTCAATGTTCTGCCCTCCTTTCTTCTTCTTCATCTGCTCCTTTTGCCTAGAACGAAGGAAAGATTTATCTCTACCTGCCACTGATGAGGGTGAAGGCAACTATTCTCCTCCATGGGGATGGCCTCTCTGCCCAGCACCACTGAGAAAAAGGGGCACTTAAGAAGAGGAGAGGGCAATTTTTCTAGGACAACAGAGAATGATGAACCAGGAGAAGACCACATTTCTGATGAGAACCACATTCCATCAGGAAATGAGCTAAAAGCAAGAGAAAAAGCTTCCTCTTTCTTCAAAGCTTCTCTTTTCTCTATTGAAGATGAATATGCTCTGTTCTAACGCAATTCCAATTCCGGACCAGCTCAGATCCCCACGCCAAGAAAGTTTTGTACTGCCATCTGCACAAGCAGATTCATCAATACCATTTCTGTTATTATATGGTCCTCATTTTTAATTTATCTGCATTCTTTCAGCAGTACTAATAGTGACACTTCTGCCAGCCTTTACCCCCAACATCTTGTTCAGAAACTATTCCAAATCCTGAAATGTCATCAGGCATTTCTGCCCTCCATAAGAGCCAGAAGGGTTACTTTTCAAAAAGGTAATGAAGTTGAGTTGATTCCCATAATCAATGGTCAATTTACTTTTGTCAGTTTTCTTTCCTATAATTTATTCTGTTCCTCAGACTTAGAAACTGTAATTGTAGACATTGTAGAAGAGAAAGGGTTTTTTTTACTGTTCATTGAACAGAAAAGTTGCAACTACATAGCCTATATATGAGGATGGAGGTAGAATCAAATTGCTTTTACATGATTACCATGTAATCTGTAGGATCCAAGCAGACCCAGAACTGCTTACTATTCTTCGTTCCCTTTAATGACACTTGTCCCTTTTGGCATATTTGCAGTATGGGCTGTTTATTAAAAAGCAAGCGATTTATACAATCTGTAGAGAAATCAATAAAGGTGGTATAGATCTGCCACGAATGTCATCATTTGTGGTACAGGCAGCCAATACAAGCCACAATGATGTCATGCATATCTTGAGGAGATTGTGCAAGTGACGCATGTGATGTCACTTGGCTCTGCTGAGCATCTCTACAATTTGAAGTATCTACTTCTGCTATCAAAACTGATTTCTTTTTTGACAGATAAACCTGAAGAGGGTAGGATTTAAGGATCCTGGAAAAGTCTGTCATCCAGAAGCAAGATTATCATGTTAGGCTTGAGACACATGAACAGTATTTTGAAACTACAAGAGATTATCACTTGGAGAAGAGGAATAAGGTGAAGAGATTCCACTTCATCGTCTCCTTCTCCTTGTTTGCTCCAAACTGAACCTCCCAGACCCACAAATGAGGGGGATTGACTCAGACCCCTCTCCTGATAAAACCCCCTTAGGCATTCACTTCTTCTGATCATAGGACAGACTCTCTCCTGAAGTCAGGCTGGCACCCAGCTTGATGGTATTCCAGAAAGTGTTTAAAATGGAGCTTTTCTGGAGAACGATCAGGTTGGCACCATCTTCAATGGTTTTGTAGCTAATTACGACGATGTTTTATGGACTGTACATTGTGCATGTGCATACAGGTTCTGATTTTTTTTTATTAAATTAATCACTGAGAAAACGTAGTGACTATAGAGGTATAAAAACCAAAATTGTGCATCTGATCAATTCTGAAGGGCCTACGGAGGTGCCATGGGAAAGTCAACGGCGGTAATAAAGTGAGTGCCTTAAGAGGACTCGATATCCAACCTTCAAAATCTACTAACATTGACTGCAATGACGTAATAAAATGGATACAAACCACTGGAAGACTTGCCAAAGAGATGGGTTCTGAATTCTTTCTATTCTGCGAATCTTATAGTTTTTCATCGTCTTTTTAAAGAGACTCTCAATCTTCATGAACTCTGGAGAGTCTCTCTTGAGTTCAATGGCCTAAAACCAAAGATATCGCAAGGTGTTAGAGAAACTGTTTGCCGTGATTCCAGGAAGAAAGGGACCATCCTGCGTTTTCATCTGATTGAATTTCCAAACTGGAAGCCTTGGAATCCTATAACCATCTTGACATTGGTTCACGTCAAAGTTGGAAAGGCTACAGAAATGCTGCTGTTGTTTGATTATCCTATTCAGAACATGGACCCACAGGATGAGCAAGGTTATTATACCATATTTCCCCCCCAGATTGCTACTCTCCTCTCTTCCCTATTGTTTTGGCTTTTGATGGAAACCACAAGAGACCACAGGGATACTGAAACTATAAATAAGCATATCTTTCTCCCCAGCTGTTCCACCAATCATCCTTGTAACAGGCTTAAAGGGAAATAGACTTTTTTTTACAGTTCAGAGGTATATATTCTAATGTTCCTCTGGATATTTTAATGCAAGCCTAAAGATGACATGTGCTTTTCAGATACTTATGTACTATTATTCTTCACTTCCCCTAGAACAGTGTTTCTCAACCTTGGTACCTTTAAGATGTGTGGTCTTCAACTCCCAGAATTCCCCAGCCAGCATGGCTGGCTGGGGAATTCTGGGAGTTG